GCAGCCTTCACCACTCTCTGCAAAGCTTTTCTTTCTGCAGCTGTGCAGCCTCCATGCCACACATTGATGCTCGAGCACAGGATGCTCTCCACTGCACACCTGTAGAAGGAGGTGAGGACTGAGCTTCCCAGACCAGCTCGTCTCAGCCATCTGAGGAAGTAGAGTCTCTGATGAGCTTTCTTGATCAGGCTGGTAGTGTTGTTGCTCCAGCTGAGGTTGTCATTCATGTGTACACCCAAGTACTTGTAGCTGGAGACCACTTCCACCGCAGATCCTCTTATGTTCAGGGGGGTGTAGATGTTTTTGTTCCTTCTGAAGTCCAAAAGTACACCTGAAAGTACACCTGGACCTGCCGTTCTGTGTTTGTTCCTCCTTCCTGTTCCTCTCAAACCCAGCTGGTTGAAGCAGATGGCCGCTCGTCCTGAGCTTGGTTCTGCTGGAGGTTTCTTCCTCATGAGGGAGTTTTTCCTTTCCACTGTCGCCTTTGTGCTTGCTCAAGATGGGAGACTGTGATGAAGTGAAGGTTCAACACAATCTGCTGGCTGCCTTAGATAGAGAACTTTTACTAAGTGGCTTTTTTTATGTATGTGGATGCTTCTGTTCAGTGCACTGAGATGACTTCTGTTGTGACTTGGTGCTATAGATAAATAAACTAAATTGAATTGAACATCACTCGTCATTTTTCATGTCAGAAATTTAAACTAAGGTCATCTTACGATGAGAAATGATGGACTTGTAGCTGTTTGTTTTGGTCAAATATAAAAAAGAAATTATGAATGACCTTACATGAAGCAAGATCCAGAGCTCGGGATATGCATTGTGAATAACTTTCGGCTACAACCAAGGCCATCCATAAATAAGTCGCTTGGGCCTATAAGTCAACACAAGGTGCAGAGAGAATAACCTTCACATCAATGTGAAGAAGACAAAGGAGATGATTGTGGACTTCAGAAGGAACAAAAACACCTACACCCCCCTGAACATAAGAGGATCTGCGGTGGAAGTGGTCTCCAGCTACAAGTACTTGGGTGTACACATGAATGACAACCTCAGCTGGAGCAACAACACTACCAGCCTGATCAAGAAAGCTCATCAGAGACTCTACTTCCTCAGATGGCTGAGACGAGCTGGTCTGGGAAGCTCAGTCCTCACCTCCTTCTACAGGTGTGCAGTGGAGAGCATCCTGTGCTCGAGCATCAATGTGTGGCATGGAGGCTGCACAGCTGCAGAAAGAAAAGCTTTGCAGAGAGTGGTGAAGGCTGCACAGAAATCTGTTGGAATCAGTCTCCCCACCATCACAGACATCTACACCTCCAGATGCAGGAAGAGGGCCACCTGCATCATGAAGAACCCCACTCACCCAGCACACACACTTTTTGTCCCACTCCCCTCAGGAAGGAGGTTAAGGAGCATTAAGTGTAGAACCACTAGACTGAGGAACAGCTTCTACCCTGAGGCTGTTAGACTCATGAATCTCTAACTAGAATAATCACTGTGAAAAACCATATCATGTTGCTGCTGATCTGTTTCATGTTGCTGCTGATCTGTTTCAATGTTGATGTGTTCATGCGTGCACATCTGCTCACAGACTCATGTTCATGTTTGTGCTGATGTTCAATGTTTTATGCTATTAGTGCTTAGTGTATATTTAGTTGATGTTTTTCTTAGTTCATATCTTAGATGTTATTACTGTTTTTCTTAGACATTTTATTGTTGGATGTAACTGGGACCCCGTGTACATAATTTCGCTCCACCACATGTACCACATGAGGTGCGAATGACAATAAAGAAACTCTGACTCTGACTCTCTGATAAGTCGCAGGGCATGCAAATTATGCAAAAAAACGTGACTTATAGGCTGAAAAATATGGTAATTAAAAAAACTAACAACCCCCCCCTCCCCCTTTACAAGAATCTGGTCTTTTCATTTGTCTTAAATTGTAAAAATATCAGTGAATGTTAAAAATCATTAGATACTGTTAGCTTTATAATGTCATCCCTAGTGGCCACAAAAGAACCCCTCCAACAAATCTAAAGTGGCCCATGGGCCACCAGTTGATAATCACAGTTGTAGCAGGTTGTTGCGGCTCTGAACACTTTTAATTTAGTGAATGAAGGCGTAAAAATGGCTCTTTTGATGGTAAAGGTTGCCGACCCCTGGTTTAGACAAAGAGATGTGAAGACAGCATGAAAGTGAACTGTACCACACTGAAAGAAAAAAAAGTAAGGGATTAATCTAGAAGTGGTGATCTGAATATCACAATTCTTCTGGAAGATAACCAAGGTTGAAGTGTAGAAACAAACTGTCGGCTGAGACTCAGTTAAATGAAGATATATATACTGCAGAAACAATCTGTTTCGAATAAAAAAGATCACTATTTTAATGTCGAGCACCTGAAGTCAACCTTAGAGCTAGGTTTCACTTGTAGGAGACACAGTTAAATATAAAAAGACTCAAAACAACAAGAGAATATTGCTGCAGTAACGGCCTGTTAAGAACTCATACAGTAGGTTAAACCCCACAGGAACCATGAGCTCAGACTACACAGTCTCTGCCTGCAGAGAATCAAACAGGTATCAAAAATAACCGTTTTATGTAAGAGTTTATCGATTTCTTTGCAATAAAATGTGAGCTCTTGAAAATGGAGCGCTGAAGGTAAAAAGGTTTTGTCAGAAGTTCTTTACAAAACAAGAAATATGACAAATCTGTCACTGTGCAAGTATTTGAATACCTGAATATAAATACTTTCATAAGAAACAAAACAATGAACAATTCTAGTGCATGCATTGTATAAATGAGAATCCCAGTGTTGTGGAAATCTGATCATTTAGTAATCACACGCTGACGCAAATAAAACCTGGATGTAGAGTAAATATTTAATGTGTCACAAAGTTTGTGTTAGTGCACTAAACTGGAAAAAGACAAAACCATTCAATGACGTGTTTTGTGCTTAATTAATGTTGGTTGTCAATCAGTAGCTTCAGTTTGCTTAAAGATGGTGGCCAACTAAACATGTTTAGTTGTAAAAATGTTAAAAACTTCTTGATGCCTAGAAGATCATAAATGCTTAAATCAAATAATGTTTGACAAAAGTATTTGTATGTACTAATCTAATAATCAATGCTTATAGATGTTTCTGAGTGTTTTTAATAAACAATATAATGCAACAATTTTAAAAGGTTTCTGTGTTAAACTGGAATAGTCTGAAGCTACTGTATGCAGTGGTTCTCAAACTGGGGTCCCCGGACCCCCGCGAGCTGGTGCTCAGGGGTTCACAAAAATATAAAATAAAAATAAATAAATAAATATACACACACACATATATATATATATATATATATATATATATATATATATATATATATATAT